ATGAAACAATTATCTTCCCTGTCCAGATAGAACAAAGTGTGGCCTAAAGAGATAAACGGCAGGCCGGGGCAAGTTTTGCTAGATGTGAGCTCAGTGCCCGATGATCCCGCTGGCCTCTAATCACCGAGACCACGCCCCCTGCACCGAATCACTGATCACTCTGAAAGAAAAATAAAATATCTAAAGACTATTTTAAACTCAATTCTGAAAAGTGCCAGCCGGCTGTACCTCCGTTTTTATATCACTCATATTATAGCCCAGAAAAAAGGTAATGAGTTATTTTCTCTCTCCAAGGGGTTCTTCCGGCTCCATTGTTACAGCATGAGATAATTGCGTAATTCATGTTTTTTTGTTTCGCTTTTTTTTTTTTCCTTTATGGTCTAGTGCTTTGTACTGGTGATACTTGCTTTAGTGAGTCTTGCTGTGTCTAATTGCAGGCCCATGTGACAGGCAGCTCCCCTCCACCATAAATCAGGATGTGGGAAGGAGTATGTTCATTACGTCCCGACAGGGGAAGAGCGATAGGCACTCTTTATGCCGGGCAAAATGAAGCAAGCTCTTTGTCCCATCTGCAAAGCAGCAGCTGCTCGGCATGGGGAGGGGAGGGTGCAGGAGGGGCCGAAGAAATAGACCAAAGAGTCTTGTTGATGTGACAATAAGCTGTACCTCTGAAGTCAGGCAAAAGTGGGTTCGAATCCCCTTTTTGATACTCTCTTGTGTAAGATTCTGGACAATGGGTTGAATAATAATAAGGTTGCCACGATGATATTTTGGAAGGATTAAATAAAATAATGCCTGTGAAATACTGAACACAATACCCAGTACATAGTTAATCAGTGTAAGTGGTGACAGAGGTTATTGTCTTTACTCTCCCCTCCCTGGCTGGACGTGAGTGCCTCAGCCATCATTTTGAAGATGTGGTCAGCCCAGAAATGAAATCTACAGAAACAAGGTATTAACCATAAAGTCACAGAGTGGGGTCCACTGCTAGTGAGGCCACGTTCCAACTTGATGGTAGAATGGAAGTGGGTCTAAAGATATTTTTTAGGATTGGTATAACAGTATATTTGCCTGAGGAATAAGGTATCTTTCAGGAGAAAGTTCATCCTGATCACAGATATGCTTAACTCAGTTAAAAAATGGAGTTGTAAACAGTGGGTGCCCCGAACATGGCT